TTATTATTATTATTATTACTATTATTATTATTAGTATTAGTATTATTAGTATTAGTATTAGTATTACTATTATTAGTATTACTATTCTTATTAGTATTAGTATTATTAGTATTATTATTGTCATTTTTTATTGTTATTATTATTATTAGTAGTATTATTATTTTCATTATTCCTATACTTATTATTATTATTATTACTATTAGTATTATTAGCATTATTGCTATTACTATTATTACTGTTATTATTACTATTACGATTATTATTATCACTACTATTAGTATTATTAGTATTATTAGTATCATTATTATTATTATTAATATTATTAATAGTATCATCATTATTGTTATTATTATTATTATTTAATATTATCATTATTATTATTCTTGTGTCACATCCACGCACCTGCCAAGGCGATACGACAGGCAGGGCGACGCCTCCTCCCTGACGGGTGTCTCGACACCAAAGACTCGATCAAACACAGCCACAGGCTAGAAAATTGTGACAGTGAGCGAGAGACCTGCAACCAAACCTCGACTGCACAGGAGGAATGGGCAGGATGGGCAGGCACCAAGATGCTGAGCCGACGAGTGGGCGACCCCGGCGACGCGCACAGACCTCCACTCGGCCAGGAGACCCGGTGGGAGCGCGTGAAAAAAAAACGGAGGGAGAAACTCCGCAGGAGGACCAGCAGTGTGACCGACCTCCCAGCAAAAACAAGGGGGTCCAGCGGTCTTCGTCGGACCCCGAGCGGCGGGCAGTTGGCTCCACCCCGCCGCTTTTGCGCCCGTGGGGCGCAGGATGCAGAGGCCAACGGGCGAGCCAGGCCTATGACCTAGTGGAAGAGGCTCCTCCTCCTCCTCCTCAACTCCTCCTCCTCTCCTCCTCCTCTCTTCCTCCCCTCCCCCTCCCCTTCTCCTCCTCCTCCTCCTCCCCTCCTCCTCCTCCTCTTCCTCTCCTCTTCTCTTACCTCCTCCTCCTCCTCCTCCTCCTCCTCCTCCCTCTCCCTCCTCCCTCTCCCTCCTCCTCCTCCCTCTCCCTCATGCCTCCTCCCTCTCCTCCCTCCCTCCTCCTCCTCCTCCTCCTCCCTTCTCTCCTCTTCCTCCCTCCACCCCCTCTCTGCTCCTCCTCCTCCTCCTCACTCGTCGTCGTCGTCGTCGTCGTCGTCGTCCCCCTCTTCCTCCTTCTCTTCCTGTATCGCGCCCTTCTCGCCACAAGCCAGACACGTCCAGCGCGGCCAGTCGGAACAGTCAACACACAGGGCAATACTGCCCATGGACACAGCACCACAGGCAGCACGAGAACCTCGTCGGAGCCCGAGTCCGAAGCAAGTTCGTGCGGATCAAACTTGCCCACGCGGCTGGCTAGAGGGCGAGGTCCCAGCAAGAACACACGTCGAAACCACGGGGGCCCCCGTGGCGGTGCCTTCCAGTCGCAGCGAAGTCGCCACGCGTCGAAGCACCCCCGCACTGTCTTCGAGGTCCTCACGAGGTCTGCGGAGCTGCCGTATCAGTACCTTTTTGTCTCCCCGAGTATCGCCCTCATCGTGAGCTGTGGTCGGTAGTCACCATCATCGTCATCAGCATCGCCGCTGTCGTCGTCTTCCGTGCGATGCGCTCCTCTGCGCCTGCAGGCCGCTTGGGGTGTCTCCTGGCCTGGTCTCCTGCACGGGCCTCGAGGCACGACCTCGAGACACAGGGCGTGGCAAGATACAGCGATGTTGAACTGCACCCATCTGGCCCGTGCGCTCGTGCAGACAAGACGCTGCCGCGAGGACCACTCTGGGCTCGGGCGGGGCTCTGCTTGCCGGGCCGCTCGCGAGCTCAGCGCGCCGCGCGTCGCCGAGGGCGTGCATGCCCGATCTGGCCCGTGCGCTCGTGCAGTCAAGGCGCTGACATGAGGACTACTCTGGAGGAGGAGGAGGAGGAGGAGGAGGAGGAGGAGGAGGAGCAGGAGGAGGAGGAGGAGGAGGAGGAGGAGGAGGAGGAGGAGCTCGTGGTGGAGAAGCGGGAGGAAAAGGAGGAGGAGGAGCTGGAGAAGGGGGAGGAAGAGGAAGAGGAGGAGGAGGAGGAGGAGGAGGAAGAGGAGGAGGAGGAGGAGGAGGAGGACCAATGTAAACCCAAGAGTCATCGACGATGTTGGAGTAAACCCTCCCTTCAAGCTCCCTCTTCATAGGCCCCTACAATTGTTCATTTCCATTGATGGAACTGCCTCGTTGGAAGACACCCGTTTGAAGACCCTGAAGCATGCTAAAACATTGTTCTCGGGATTCCAACGCCACGGATCAACCTGAATGTTGCGTCTTGACGATCCTGAATGGTGCCAGGGCGCCATACCTAGGACTTCAACACAGATTCCGGAATCCTGCCAAAACACAAGTTCTGGTACGTTGATGATGGGAAAATGTGAAACTCTTGTATTTTGAAAACGAATGTGCGCCGCGCTAAGGCGAAAGCCACATTTTGAAAACCACCTGCCCTCCACCTGTCAAACTGCTTCCGATGTTGAAACCTCAGCGTCATGAGTGGTGAGGAAGTCTCAGGCGAAGCGCCTGGACCGCCCTCAAAAACCGGCCTCGGGGCGCCACAGGGAGAAAATATTCATGAGGACAAGGAATGGAGGAGGAGGAGGAGGAGGAGCAGGACGAGGAGGAGGAGGAGGAGGAGGAGGAGGAGCCGCAGGAGGAGCAGGAGGAGGAGGAGGCGGTGGAGGAGGAGGAGGAGGAGGAGGAGGAGGAGGAGGAGGCGCAGGAGGAGCAGGAGAACGATGGAGGAAGAGGAGGAGGAGGGGACCGCTCTGGGCTCTGGCGGGGCTGTGCTTTCCAGGCCGCTCCGCGGAGCTCCTGCCGGGGGAATCCTCTCCTCTGCGGCCCAGGTTCGCCGTGGCCGGCGAGACGCCTCGGCAGCACGAGGGCCGCACGCGAGCGTTTTCGGGAGCGGGGCGGGAGAGAGCGCCGCTGCTGTCCAGAAGCCCGAAGCTGCGAAAGATGAGAAGTCCTCCTCCTGCTCATCTCTCATTCCTCCACGTCTCCCTCTCCTCCTCCTCCTCGTCCTCTTCCTCCTCATCTCCTCCTCTCTTCTCCTCCTCATCTCTTTCCTCCTCTCCTACTCCCCTCCTCACCTCCTACCCTGCTACTCTCCTCCTCCTCCCTCTTCCCTCCTACTCTCCTTCCGCATCCTCATTCCTCATCGTTCCTCCTCCTCCTCTCTACTCATCCTCCTCCTCCTCTCCTCCCTACTCCTCCTACTCCTCCTTCCTCACTCCTCCTCCTCCTAGTATGTTGACTCCATCCCATTATCGAAGAAGAGAACTACCCCGGCTGCGACTACCAGAGTGGAACCCCAGCGGTCTGCTGCACTTTTCTCCAGCCGGATCGGTCCGCGATGGTGCTGGGGCCCGAAGCCGGGCGAGAGCGCCCGGCGTGACAAACATTGCAATGCCAGGATTCCACTTGCCCCGAATTCTTCAATACGACGGAGTTCCCGGAGGTCTCGACCTGTGTTCCCCCGGGTTGGCTTCTCATCCCGAGCCGCTTCTGGACGGCGCCGGGGCCCAGCCAAGGCCTCCGGGAGGCCGACCACACAGCAAGAGGCTCCCCGTCGTGGCCTTGACGGGGCCCGCGCTGGGACGCCTTGGAGGACCGGATCTCAGGGTCGCCTCCTCCTCCCCCACCTCTCCTCCTCCTCCTCTTCCTCCTCCTCCTCATCCTCCTCCTCCTCCTCCTCTCCCTATCCTCCTCCTCCCCCTCTTCTCCTTCCTCCTCGGGGGAGGCGGTCCAGCACTCCGGCCGGGGCCCTGCCGAGCCCGGAGGTCCGCGGATGCCCAGCCGAGGCGCCCCCCCCAGGGGGCCCCAGAGGGGTGCGGCGGCCGGCTCCGAGGGGCGATGGCACGCAGGCCCGGCGGGCGTTCTCTTTTTCGGTTGTTCTCGTTTGTGCATTGGCTTTGTTTGCTTGCGAGGAGGAGGAGGTGGAGGAGGAGGAGGAGGAGGAGGAGGAGGAGGTGGGGGTGGAGGAGGAGGAGGTGGGGGAGGGAGGATTAGGAGGCGGAGGAGGTTTTGCATCGGTTGCCTCAGGGCGGCCCCTGCCAGAGGCGCGTGAAAAGCGGAGGAGGCGGCAGGAGGAGAAGGGGGGGGGGGGGAGGGCGCGCGAAGCGTGGCGGCCCTCAGAGAAGTTTGCGGCGGCCACAGGCCTGAGGACACGCGAGGGTCCCTGGTCTTCCAGGAGGGGAAGGAGATCGAGGGCGACTACTATGGAAGAGGCATGCGCCGTGCCGCCGGCCCCCAGGAGAGGAAACAGTGGGTGCGAAGGGGGCAGGGGTGGGAGGGGAGCGAATGGAGACTGGGGAGGAAGAGGAGAAGGAGGAGGCGGAGGAGGAGGAGAAGGAGGAGGAGGAGGCGGAGGAGGAGGGGGAGGAGGAGCAGGGTGAACACCGCCGTCGTAGCCATGAAGCTCTCGCACACCTTCTCAGCCCCGGGCTGGCGGGGGTAGGCGGACATCATCGCCGTGTACGATGACCCGACGACTGCCGTCATTTCGTTTTCCGCCTACGAGCTGGAGAACGACAGCACGTTCACCTACCCCCTCACCTACGCCGAGTTCGACAAGCTGTTCCAGTTCGACGCCGAGCTGATGAACCCCTCGAACCAGGACTCGAGCAACACAACAAAGGGTGCACCATACTCTGCCTGGGGTGATCCCCGCCCAGGGACGCGAGAGGCGGGATGCCCAGGGAGCACTGGCACAAGTTGGGGCCTGGCGGTCGTCGTGCCATGCAGACGCCACTCGTCGAGGGCACGAGGCGGGATGCCCAGGGAGCTCCAGCACGCTTTGGGCCTGGCGGCCGCGGTATGCAGGATTCGGGAGGCGGGTCGGGACCGTACACGGCCAAGCAGTTCGCACCCTGCGGCGCAAGATCCCCCGCAGTCCCCGAAGTCTAATCTTGAGGCTGCGGCAGTGGAGAGGGCATGGGTGGACCAAATTATCCGAACCAGGCTGAAATCAGCACTGCTGTCGGGGGCCGCGGGGGGATGAGCGTCCCCCTCGAGCGAGTGAGGCTTCCAGTGGTTTGTCCACGTACAGGAGCCCTTGTCTTTCAATCTAACAGCCACAGCCGGTCGAGCTGTAAACCATGATCGTAAGTTGCCGGAGGCCCGCGCGGACTTCTCGGATCGGCGCCGGGCCCCCCTCCCCTGGAGCCCGGACGGGCCTCCGACGGTACGCCGATGCGGCTTCGAGCAGGAGGCTCCCGACGCCCCCCCCGTCCTCCTCCTCCTCCTCCTCCTCCTCCTCCTCCTCGCTTTCCTCCTCCTCCTCCTCCTCCTCCTCCTCCTCCTCCTCGCTCTCCTCCTCCTCCTCCTCCTCCTCCTCCTCCTCCTCCTCCTCCTCCTCCTCCCCCTCCCCCTCCCCCTCCCCCTCCCCGTCTCGGAGTAGTTTCGCGCCCTGGATCAACGCTTGGTGGCCCCGTGGCCCGGAAGCAGCCCCCTGAGGCCGAAACGGGGACAGACTGGCTACTCGACACATCGTCGGACGTCCCTCGAGATCCAACGCTGCGAAAAGTTGCAGCATCGCGAAACATCACTAGTTCCTTCACTTGTCGATAATAGTTGCCTACTGCTTGCGCCCAGAGCCTCCTGGCAGCCGCCACTCCACCTCCCCGTGTTCCTTTTCGGTATCAGGTGTTTCTTTCTATAAACACTGCCGTGCACCCGAGAGGACGCATAGGCAAAGGCAAAGCGAGCTGTGCCCATTAGCACGCTCGCGAGAGAGCGGGGAATATTCCGACACGCGTGTTTGTCACAGCCGAAGAGAGGGGGGAGAAGGAGGGGAGGCGGGGGAGGAGAGGGGGAGGGCAAACATACAATGTAACATGCATTGCACGTGCTGTGTAAGCTTATACACCTCGAAAGCCCATTGTTGGCGCGGTCGCCCTCTCTTGCGGCGGGCGGTCCACACTTCGGGCGACCCGTCTGCGCTGAAGTGCACACGCTTCACAAACGAATTACATCCATTAGCCGAGATTTGCTTGTTTTCGTTCACCTGTGTTTTGAGCAATGTGTGCGACAATGGTTTTGCCGCGGCCGTCTCCGAAACCGTGTCGTTGCGCACTCTAGATACGTATGAAGATGGAATGCCCAACAGTCGCGGCACGCACCTGCAATGGAAAGCGTCCAAACGAGCACGGTCAGCTTTCAGCAGCTACATCAGCAGCCACAGGGTATCCAACGAGTGAAGGAGCTTGCTCAAGACGACAGCATCGTAAACACGATATGTTCCCAATTGGGCTTGCCTAAGGGATTTCTACTTGGTTAAAGGTTGGTGCCTCGAGGGCTTACGTGGCCCGTTCCCCAGAGGTTCCTCGGGTTCCTCGGGCTCCCCGCCCTCGTATTCTTATTATTGCGCCCGTTCCTCAGATGTTCCTCGGGTTCCCCGGGTGCCTCGGGTTCCCCGCCCCCCGTGCATTCTTACGTTGCCCGTTCCTCGGAGGCTCCTCGGGTTCCGCGGGTTCCTCGGGTTCCTCGCCCTGGCTGTTGGTTGCCTTTCCCATCAATGCCAGGCAACGCTAGACAACGCTAGGCAACGCCAAGCAACGCCAAGCAGATCAAGGCAGCGCAAAACAACGCCAAGCAATTCCAGGCAACGCCAAGCAACGCCAAGCAATGCCAAGCAACACCAAGCAACGCTAAGCAATGCCAAGCAACACCAAGCAACACCAAGCAATGCCAAGCAATGCAATACAATGCAAAGCAAAGCATTGCAACGCCGTTTAGGAAGCGTTCCCCTAATTGGGGTCGCACCGAGTTCACTTTGCAGGTTCCTCGGGTTCCCCATGTTCCCCGGGTGCCTCATGCCAAGCAATGCCAAGCATTGCCAAACAATGTCAAGGTCTGCGCCCATGCAATAGGATGCTTTCCCCTAATTGGGGTCCTGCCAGGTTTATTTCGTTTCCACCCAAGCGCCGATCTAGACCACACTTTGTCCAGTTGCTTGAACGTCATGCTCGGTTCCCCCAACATTCTGGACAATTCGGGCGAAGCCCTCCCATCGCAAGACACGAGGCCCCCTAAGTGCACTGCGTCCCAGACGGTTTTGATTTTGCGTCCATCTGCTTTCGTGATCTTTCTGTTTGTCGACACCTGCATGCGCAATGCCTTGCGCCAAGTCCAAGCCATATTTGCGCTTTTCTTCCACGATTGAATTCTGCATTGCTTGAAGGTTGGTCTGGTGTCGAGATACAAGTAGCGTGTCGTCTGCGTACAACTCGTCCTGGGTATCCACGATCCAGGTTCTTGCTGAAGAAGTAGCATATCAACTGAGTCGTGAAGCATTGCTGTTTGAACTGCTACGAAAAGACACGGAGAAAGCGGACACCCTTGTGCAATCCCGGTTTTTTTGTCGTTTTTCCCGAAGAGGTGCCAGTATTGTCAGGAATGAAGAAAAAGAAGCGGGCTGCGTATATTGATTGCACCATGTCAATCATCTCAGGACGAAACGCACAATGGTGCAACGCTCTGCACATTGCGGCGGATTCATGCTAGCGAATGCTTTGGTTCAGTCAAGCACCAGCACCATTATCCCCTTATCGTTGCTGTTGTGTGCCACGTCAATCATGCGTCTGAGGAGCATGAGTGTGTCCGCATTACCACGCCCAGGGCGAACATCATCTTGTGAGTTTCGCATGCATCTTTCTGAACCTCCGCGTATCAGTCTTTGGTGTATCAGTGATGCCAAAATATCCTGTGACCAATCGAGAGCAACGAAATAGGCTGGTAGTTTTCTGGAAAGAGCGGCGTCTCTTTTTTAATCAGAATACAACCTTTGGCTGTTCGCCAATATTATGGGATCGATTTTCGATCCCAGTATTGTTGACATAGTCGTAATAATATTCCACCTGCGTTTTTGTTGTACATCTTCCAGAATATGATTGTCTGTCGTCTGGTCCTGCGCCTTTTCCGTTTTTCCCCAACTAGGCTTGCCCAAGGGGTTTTTGTTTGGTTTTGAAAGGTTGGTGACTCGTATTCTTATTGCGCCCATTCCTCGGAGGTTCCTCGGGTTCCCCAGGTTCCTCGGGTTTCCCGCCGCCCGTGCCTCATATTCTTACGTTGCCCGTTCCTCGGAGGTTCCTCGAGTTCCCCGGGTCCCTCGGGCTCTCCGCCCCTGGGTTCCTCGGGTTCCCCGCCCCCGCGCCGGGTTCATCTTGTCGAGTTCGCTCCGGGTTCATTTTCAAAAGGAAGCCCCCTAATTGGGATCGAAGCTGGCTGATTTCAATTTTTGCAGAACTGCCACTAACTCGTCCATGTTGAAATTGGTTGTGCTCATGGTTGTCTGGCAGGAGGTCTGGGAATCGTTTTTGCCACTGCACTGGCTCGAAGTAGTCCGCCATGATGTTTGCTCTTTCCGCCGTGCCTGATCAAGTACCATCTGCTGTCTTGATGTCTGCGTGCCTGGTTTGCGCAGATATTATACAGTATCCCGCCCGCCGCTACCCACATAATCTTCCAACCATCTTTTTCGGCCTTGTTGACCAGATTGCCGGACGAGCCTGTCAAGCATCTTCGTTTTGGGTTAGTCTCTTGTTTGGCCGCAGACCTTTTGTTTTCCAATGGGGTCAATTGTATGGGAGTTTGTCCAAGGACGTCTGGGTAGAAGATCTGTTTCGGGTAAGGCCGATGCGGTCGTTTGGAAAGCCTGTTCAGTATCAGCAGGCGGTTCCTCCAAGCTGCATGTTGCATAGTTTGCGGCAGCTGCGCATTTGAACGCCTCCAAAATTTCACGTCTCGCACCCGTTTGCTTCAATGGAGTCTCGTCCAACGCTTTTTTCTTACGCTGTTCGCCCACTCTGGATAGAGGCGACGTTTCAACAATCATTTAGAAGTGTTGGCTATAGATTGGCTCTCCCGGCACGTCTACTAGTCAATCATCGTAGGAAGGCAACTTTGGCAGCAGAGGACGTGTTCAGGTTGCGCGAATGCTGCGCCCTCGATGGTCGCTATTGGGTGAACGCCAAGATCATGGTAAGAGACTTTCTTGTCATTGGAGTTCGAAGAAAGTGTTGGCGATCACAAGGTCGCATTTAATGCTATATTCGACAAAGAAGTATTGGTGTGCAGTCAGTAGTGTCATTCACATTATCATCCGTCGATTCGTACAAGTGCTGTCCGATGACGTCGTCCTCCCAAGCATTTCTGTGGAGCAGCCTGGCGTTAAAGTCATCGAGAACGTATGACGTAGAGTGTTCTGTAGTGTGGCGAATATGGTCTTGCCAGGTGTGGTAGCATGTAAGTATGATGTTGTAGTCGATTTCGTTGTGGGGCGCGTAGACGGATAAAACTGCAAGCATCTCACCATGCATTTTCAAACGACGTGTGGCTATGCGATCATTGCACGCCTTAAATGCAACAGCTGCCGAGCGAATACGAGGTGATACTATGAATCCCACTACAGCATGATATCTGTTATCAGAATCCAGGCATCCAGACACACACGCCGCATAACCTTCTCGTGTTTAGTATTCGGCACCGCTGCGATGAGTCTCCTGGGTGCATGATATGCCCATTTCCCGATCTGACATTATCAAAAGTTCGTCCATCTGCATTGCGGAATCGCCCAGGAGACCTTGAGTACTCCGAGTTCTCAGGCGCTGAAGTCTG